GCAGCAGCAGGAGTAGCGGAACGATTTACGTAACCAGATCTATCATTCCGGGGGGAAGCACCCGGTGCAAACAGATACTTTGTTGACTAGTTTTTGGAATAGTAGTAAATGAGTTCTTTTTGCAGGATTATCGAATCGGGAAGAGAACTTGATCAATCAAAGCTGGTTTCTTGCACAAGCAATCCCTTCCATCCGTCGTAAAATAGAAATCGAAAGTGCTAATCTTCACATTGCAGCTGTTAAACAGTATTGAACGCTTTGGTCATCTTACTGGGTACGGGGTTATGTCATCTTGGTATCCTGTTACCCATGAAATCCTCACCATCCTGCCATCTGCAAGGGGGTGACCAGTGTAACCTGCGATAATAAAAGTTTCTTCTGCAGCCATTTCAACGAACTCGGCTTGGATTTGGGCCAAGATCCGCAGCCTGAACAGCACTTACGAATGCAGGACACTTACCCTGTGGAAAGAACAAGTTCTGACTTCGAGCCTCTCCGAATTCCACCAAAAAAGGATTTTCAAGGTCTGCATTGTGAAGGTCGGGTCCAGAATTCTGCATGAAGTCGAGGCGGGGCGCATCTCAAAATCGGAAATGATCAACTCCAGTTAATCCTTTACTCCATCTCTTTTCAGGAGAACCTCAATGTGTTTCTCCGGAAGCATTTGTCACTCGAACGGCTACGTTACCCTGAGCGATCTTTCGCCGTTCACTTCGTCCACGGTCCACAGATTGACTTCGCATACGTCAACAATCTTTGCTGGCCACCATGGAACGGACCTGATCCGAAAGGACATTTGGCCTTGTGATTGTTTTCTTTGGAGAACGAAACAAGGCTAGTCAAGCACTTTTTGCAGAATTACTCGGCTGCGCATCGGCCAGATAAGAGTGATTAGTCAAGGGCGTCTATGGTGACGGATGAATCGGAATGATCGAAGATCTGATATGTCGTCATTCTTCGAAATATGATAAACTCCTGCACTTGGTTTTTGTTGAATAACCTCGCATTCAGGGTGAATGCCTCCAATTGGCAGATGAAGATAAGGGTACACAGCGCACCCTAGAATGGTTACCGGGCCAGCGGAGCCTAACAATGCCCCTATACAGCATACAGGTTTATGAGTCCCTTCAATCAAACACGAGCGACAGGTTTCCAGAGTGCGTCGCTCTAACAACACGACTATGCCAAACTGCCTGAACCCATAACTTCGGAGAAACTTTTGGTATCTTAGCCACCGGAGGCATCCTTTGAGAACTCACTGAATAGCGCCCTCGCAGTATAAACTTATTTCAGAATAACTTCACTACTGGAAATGGAAATTAAGTAAATGACTTAGTCCTTGGGTAACAAGGGGCAAGTCCCATTCTTATAATCGTGCTCAGAAAAATATTATGGTATGTACTAGCTCTTTATGTGGGGATGATTAGGCAGCCCACCACAGATAGGTCTCCTGCCAAGCCTAAATAGGCATACAGGAGCATAGCAAACCTTCCATGCCCAGGTGTTCGTACTCACCCTCCCTATCGGTGTTCCCATGCTCTCAATTCCCTACTTTCACTGTCTTTTGACTAATCAGAGCCACCAATACTGTTGTTTACTTTTGATATGAACGAGCCGTTCAGTCAGTAAACAACCAAATAGTAAATTGTTGACATTATCTGTATAGCCGAGCTGACCTGTCAACATTGTCATATCTCGGGGGGTGATTTAAATCGTAAGCCTCATGCCGACGCCGGCGTCCCTATCGCTCATTGTTGGGTCCAACTAAATGACCCCCGTGCAAAAGGCCGAGTCTAATCGGGCACTGCTTTGCATGTGCCGCTCACGTGGACAGATAAATATCTTTCGCATATCTCAAATAACACCTATAGTGATGTGATATTGCCTTTTGAGGCAGTAATTGGGAGGGGTCGAAGGTCCCAAGCCACAAATTATTGTTGTGAATGCGGTAGGTTACTGTATCGCGTTTGGGTGAATCAAACTTTTCCCAAACCACAGGTTCAAGGAGTTTCTTCACGATTTCCTTGACCAGGAATCTCTAAATGAGAAATAATAAGGGGAAGCGGCCTTAAACCAATTCTGGCAGGAACAAGTTCCCTAACAGTTCCCGAAGAGTTACCTTTTCCAGTGCAGGACTGGTTCAATTGCATACTGAAGATTCCCGGCCATGGCAGTAACTGTTGTTCGAGTATATTCAACGGGTAAATGACAATTCCACTGCAGCTACCTATGTGGGAGCAGGGTGACAGGTTCCAAGGAGCTTGAACAGAAAAAANAAAAAACTAGTTTTGGAGAGGAAGAAAAGAGAGGACAAAGTAGAGGCCCAAATATGGTAGGAATGCAGAAGTTGCAAAAGAGAATAGCATCGAGTCTCACACGTTCTATGACCCCGGAAGTTTTGTCCCTACCGTAACCGGTCCAGTGGTGTCCACTATCACCAAAGTCCCTATGTCTCGAAATTATAAAACAAACAATGCTACACCACAGTACGCAGAACGTATAGCAAAGATCAGCTCTGAGAGAGTTCCTCTGCGTCCATGGCCATTGCGTTCTTTGACACCGCGTGTCTCTCACCGACTGGTGTCTGCGTTGGCGTTCGCTAAGCCCCGCCCCTCGTACGGGGTGGGGCGGACTAGTTATAAAAGCCTGGCGCTGCACCCATCCACTTCGGCCTCGACTTTCCACACGTGAATTGTTCGTGTGAACTAAGCTTGACCTGATATTGAGCTCAACTGTTTTGATCTACACCCTCAAAATCGATATGCTCGAAGTATCTACAAATTCCATGTGTTTCGACACAGTTGCATCGACAAGCCGGTCATCAAAAAATGAGGTAAATTTTTCGAGCGTTTTTTTTCGCTTTGGAACAAACTGATTTTTGCCCCGCCCACAAAATCCTCTTGATATCAATACTATCAATTTCAACGGTTAAAAACGCTTGGTTACTCGGACAGAGGCTATTACTGTTACTGCTTCTGTCTACCAGCGCAATCAAACCTACTACTTCCAAACTATATTGTTTTTTGATCTAGCGCTCGGTTCCATAGTGATAGATCGAAATGGGAACTTTCTAGTCAATACACCCGTGGCATTCACAACTTTCTCCGTCAACCGATAGGTCCCTGTCCCTCTAAGTTCTCTTTTGCCAAATCCTTTTATGCCTTCAATGCTACTTGTATCGTGGAACCCAGAGGCCTGGGATGCACTTCCTTGAAATGCTTGTGGGGCCATTATATGTCAGACGCGTAAAATCGATATTTTTATCATCTTCTGTCTTAAACATCCCCTTTTTTCAGATGGCCAAATCCGACATGACCCAAGTGGTAGCGTTGGCCGTCATAAGCCGACTCCACGACTGGTGTGTCCAACTATTCTGGATTACGGTATTCTGTGTTTTGGGCGTTTGCGGTGATGAAGAATCACGGACGTCTATTTATCAACTTCATGAAAAGCAACAGCAACAAGAATCTTTGACGCGGAAACGAACAAGCATAGCCGAGATCGAGAAGAAGGTTTGTATTGACTTTCCTTTCGCCCATGTTATTGACTGCCGTCTATGTCGATTCCCAGGGAAGGGGGGAAGGCGTGGTGGGGGAATCGATCCTATGGCTTCCCTGTTACTGCGTATTTGTTTTGTTTTATGATAAGGAGGCAGTTTTGGTTGGGCAACAACTGGTTATTAGCATACGGCATGAAATGGTCGCGTGTCTCTCAACTAGTTTACTGACAGAATCCCTTACAATTACCGTTAAGAACATTTTAAAGAATGACGTTGATTGGACCCAAATTTATCTCGACAGCTCTATAATTATCACTCTGTGGATTGATATGGTTGATGTTACCCTTCTGAAGGTTTGGGCGCTGATTTGATATGGGCAATAGTGAGGTGAGGCCTTCAACATTTCATTGAACTGCACCCGGGCCTCGGTACGTTACGGAACATGGGAAATAGGGGGTAGCAGTCACGGTTGAGCGGCATCCAGGAAAATTAGAATCAATGGGCTTTGACGCTTTTCTATCGAGGGTGGGCTGAATCCCTTCCAATTCCGACTACGTAACCGGGGCAGTGGATGTTAGATTGCCGATGCCGATTTTGTCCGTTTTCCATGGTGTGCTTGAGAGACTTGCAGCCCCCCCCCC